ATAATTTTAAAGTATCCATTTAGCGATTACTGTGATCAGTTAGACAGTAATTGTAAAATTGTATTGTTAACCTATCTCTATGTGATTATAAATAAGGTATCTCAAATTACAAGTTTTTTCGTTTCAGTTTTACACTGGAAATAAATTTTTACGTAAAAAATAGATCATTTTTCAAGTTATTTATATGATGAGCCAATTGAAGCTAGACCAGAGATTGGTAGGTCCTGGGTTCGAATCTCGCGAGTGCGGGATCGTGGATGCGCACTGCTGAGGAGTCCCATAATAGGACGAAATGGCCGTCCAGTGCTTCCAGGTTTTCGATGGTGGTCTACCTTCAATTGGCTCATCATTTCAACTTTGAAAATACTGAAATCTCCATAAAACCCCTTCTGATTATTTATATGTCAGTCAGTCAGTCACAACGTAGAACTTCGTACGTACGTACATCAGTTCGAGTTGCCATACCACATTAGCACAGAGATGCAGTTGTCGATTCAAATCCCATAGTGGTAGAAGTAGTAGGAGTATAATCAGAAATCCAAAAGATTAGGGGTTTGAAGAAATTATTGAAGGAGTATAGTACAGTGAAATAAATTTGGAAAGAGAAAAAGATAAAGACATGAGGAATTCGGAAGATAAGAATTTGGCAGAACACAAAGAGTGGATGCATCTTCGCCATTGCAAACGATTTTGAGCCATGTCATTCAAGGTCTCTAACCATCGGTTGCTGTCATCTCGCGAATCCCAACCAGGTAGTCTACACCTACCAACATGGCCCAGTCCACTTGTCAGTGACTTCATCGATTTGTGCCACGTTTTGGTCTGGCCACCCCTAGCTTTCTTCCAACCTACTCCTACACCATGAAACATTGCACGTCGGGGCAGTCGGTGGTCGGGCATACGTAACACATGTCCCAGCCATCTCAACTGATGAAGTTTCACTACTTCATCAATCGATTTGCCATCCCTACCTAGTACTCGTTTCCTAACAACTGCATTACTTACCCGGTGGTCCCAGGATATACGAGCAATGCTTCGAAGACACCTATGATCGAATACTAGTAGCCTACGAATATCCTCTACTCTTATTGGCCATGTTTCACTGCCATAGAGTAGGACGGAGCGAACTGCTGCACAGTAAACCCGTCCTTTGGTTGCTAGACGGATATCTCGCCTACGCCATAAATGACGCAAGTTGGCGAAAGCTAGACGAGCCTTCTGTATCCGTGCTGAGATTTCGTCACATACCAGACCACAAGGGCTGATGAGACTCCCAAGATAAGTGAAGTGGTCTACACGCTCAACTACTTCACTCCCTATCATTAGTTCAGGTGTCGATGCAACCCAATCCTGTAGTAACATTTTGCACTTCGAGGGGGAGAATCGCATTCCGAACATGCCTGCATAGTTGCTTATAGTGGTCAGAAGACTCTGCATGTTGTCAGCGTCTTCACCGAGTAAAACTATGTCGTCGGCGTATTCTAAGTCAACAAGTGAGCCTCCTGGTAAAAGTTCAACTCCTGGAGGTTTAGCTGATGAAAGTGCTATCTCTAAAAGTATGTCAATGACAAAGTTAAACAAGAATGGGGAGAGTGGACAGCCCTGACGAACGCCACTTGTGGTAATCAGTTCTGATGACAGTTCGCCATAGGCTCTAACTCGACCAGTTGTGCTCGAGTAGAGAGCCTTTATGAGGTTAATGTACTTCTTTGGTACTCCTTTCAGTGACAAACATTGCCATAGAACCTCACGATCAACGGAGTCAAATGCCGCCTTAAGGTCAAGAAATACTACTATTGTGGGACGTCTGAATTTGTGTCTATGTTCTAGAACCTGACGTAGGGTGAATATCTGGTCTATGCAACCACGTCCAGGTCGAAAACCAGACTGGTTTTCTCTAGTCTGCTCGTCACGAGCTTTGGTTAGGCGACCTAGTATTATTGAAGCTAATATTTTAGACACTATATTAGTCAAACTGATCCCTCTGTGATTGTCACAGGAGGACTTTTGTCCTTTCTTATAGACTGGCACAATCAGTGATTGGGACCAGTCAGATGGAATTACGTATAGTTCCCAGATTCTACCTAAGACCTCAGTCAATTTCACTGCTAGTACTGGACCACCATCCTTAAAAATCTCAGGGGTCAACCTGTCAGGGCCTGCTGCTCTCCCTCGCTTCAGATTTCCTATAGCTTTTTCAACCTCACAGAGGGTTGGAGGACTTACATCAATTTTCCATTCAGGACGACTGGGGATCGTGGGTAATTGAAGTGTGGCTGAAGGCCAGTTGAACTGATCCCTAAAGTGTTCTGCCCATCGATCCAACCTCCTGGATTGAGGATGAATAATATGCCCATCTTTATCTGAGATGGTTTCACTGATATTCGGGTTCCTAATACCGGTTTCTTTAACGAGTTTGAATAGCTGCCTACTGTTACCTATTGCCGCTGCCTTTTCCATCTCCCTTGCTTTCGCTACCCACCACTGTTCACGATCATTACGTAGACTTCTTATAAGCCTGCGCTTAAGTTGACTCCGCTCTTCGTTATGCTCAGAGCCAGGTGGGATGAGTTTACGAGCATCTATCAGTGCGATAGATGCTGCCGAGATCCATTGTTTCTCCCTAACGTTATGGTTTACCTTATTAGCGGATATCACTGCTGTTTCCACAGCTTTTCGGATGTCATTCCACGCTGCCTCGGGGTGGACACAACTTACATGGCTGCCTAACTGTTTTTCTAGTTGTTCCTGAAATATATTCTTAGCTTGCCTATCATTAAGTAGAACCCTTAGAGGCTTCCCTGCAGTGTCTTTCCTACGACCAGTAAGACGCAGACAGATACGTTCTCGCACTAGAGCATGATCTGAATCTAAGCATGTGCCCCAGAATGAGCGACAGTCTTCTATCGAGCCCCTCCATCGGTGGCTGATAGCGATGTGATCTAATTGGGTCCAACGTTGGGACGAATTCGGGGGTCGCCAGGTCAAAAGATGTTTTTCCTTATGCTTAAAGTTAGTATTTGCAAGAAATAGGCGGTTGTCTGAGCATAGCTGCAACAGACGGTCGCCATTATCTGTTCTTTCCGCCATGACACCATAAGATCCACCCAGGTGTCTTTCCCTTTCACTTAGTTTACCTACTTGAGCATTAAAGTCACCTGCTACTATTACTACATCAGAACGCCTAGCTTCTCGGAGAAGGTCAGAAAGTTTCCTGTAGAACTCATCTTTTATATCGTCTGAGCTGCAGTCAGTGGGAGAGTAGGCAGAGACGACGAAGAGGCAACGACGAGTTTCCCTATCTTTCCGGGTCCTTACTGATCCGTTTAGTCGGACAGCGCATAGACGACTGTCTACTGGGATCCAGTCTAAAAGAGCTAGTTCTGCCCTAGGACTTAATGCTATACCTACTCCAGCGAGGCCACGGGAAGCAGCGTCAGGGCTTCCAGATACACGGAGCGTGTATCGAGATGAAACTTTATTTTGATTAGGTGCGGTCAAATGAATGACACTACTCGGATCTTGTATCCGTGTTTCGGAGACGCAGCACACATCGATGGTGTAAGATTCTAGAGTCCTAGCTAAGGAAGCCTGTTGTCCTATTTGGCACAATGTTCGGACATTAAAAGTTCCTATATGTAGTTTAGAGCATGGTTTCAGGAGACCAGGAATGACGTTCTGTGTACTCGAATCGTTTGCCCTAGCGGTGCGACGTGATAAAAGGACGTGGGAAGGGTTAGTCGAGGAGATAACAGAGTTATTAGGTGTAGGAAGGATTTGAAAGCGACCAACTTGGTCTTGTGTGCAGTTAAGGGTATGAGGGCTAGTATCACTTCCCGGCTGCCCACACCGTGGAAGGGTATTTCTTGAGGGACCTGAAAAAGAAGTTGGATTAGTGTTGGTCTTAACGACCTGGGAGCGTGACCGCAGTGCCCAAAGGACATCTGCTTGAGGCCGGTCACGCACGGCCTTTTTGTGAGGGATTTTTGACGTGTTAGCTCCGTTCTTCAAAAGTCCTTACCGCCGGAGACGGAAATCCGTGGGATAAGGCGAGGTGTGCATTTTTAGGGTCGACCTTTTCTAACCCCACCCCTCCTTGTGGGGAGGCAGCATCGCTGTCATGCTGGTTGTCTGAAGGAAACACCTTACTGCTTCCACACCTCTGTACAGTCAGCAGTACGACTTCGCCTTCGGACCTTGGGATTGCTGCTTTTAGTCTCACCGCTCTTCAACCGACCTGTCTGGCATGGTAGGACCTTGAGGAACGATTGTTCCAGCCAGCATAGCTCGATTGGATCATCACGATAGGCAAGCCCGACCACCACGTCAAGGTAGCAGCAACGGTCGGGGATTATTTATATTATTTATTATATTATTTATTATTTATTTATATGATTTCCTAAAATATTTATTTTCTTATTGAAATATGAGGTTGCTTAAACTATTAGTCAATGTTCAATCTGGAAGTGTTATAAGAAAATGTAGAATCGTATTAAACTTGTTATATCTGAACGAACAATAACCATTCCTAATTTATTCCAAATTTATTTGTTACAGTACCCAATAACCACAGCCACTTCTAACTTGGTCTTTTATAATTATTATTTCTCATTTTATGGTGTGATGCGCTCTAGTCTACTTATGTATAAATGACGTATGTGTGAAATATACGATTCACAAAGCAGAGTATGATATTTGTATTCTGAACTGAACAGGCCGGACTGGGCTAAGCAAGAAGTTGCTATACAAAGGACGAGTAAAGATTAAGAGTTGACTGGTTAACGCAACATTGGTTTAGCACAGAGACAAGGTCGTGTTAGTCGGCGTTCTGATTGACGATTTTGTCACGTAATAATTGACAGGGCCACAAGCTATAACAAAATTTCTATTAAAGTCATGGTTTTCAACTGAATGTAATCTGACTTATCTTTGTAAATTGTCTTTTTTATCGTTTCATATTTTATTTGATATACTTCTTTTTTAAAAAAAATTATATTTAGCCCGGATTGGATGAGATTGTTAAATTACACCGTGGAAAAAATTTACACTTTTCTTCGGATATTGACAAAGCAATAGATGATGCTGAAATGATTTTTATCTCAGTGAATACCCCAACAAAAAATTGGGGCCTCGGTAAGGTAAGTAAAGAATACACAAATGAGAACATTTTGCTTTTTATTTATAAAAGCATCCAACCAAGAGATCTCTTCTTTTTAATACAGAGATCAGGCTCGGATTGATAAACTTCCGGAGCATGTATAGTGCAAAATTTTCTGATTCATATTTCATTTGAACTGCTTCTTCTAATTTTGTAGTATATTTTTGATGAAATCGTTTGGTCAACCATCTAGCCCTGATACCCTACAATTGCAATGAATTTTAGAAGTATGTAAAAAAGATGTTTCTCCAGTGGGTATGAATAGCTTGCGATGCTACACAATTATTTAATAATTGGTGGAAATCGTAAAAACGTTTAGAAATCATATCAGTGGATGTAGCACCTAATTCTCGCGACATCACTTATTAAAAAGTCAACATCAATGTATTCACAAAGGGAATGATATATTTGGATATTTGCTCGTCGTGTGATCATAATGAAGATAATAACCTTGAAAAAAGTGTCCCAAAACATCCAAAGAATCTACTAATATTTTTCACTCAGCTTACATTTCAAACTTAAAAATGGATCCTATGGGCAAACCTAAGGCATTAAAATGGAGTAACCACTGAGTCCCTTCTTAACAGATTGTTTCATGGCCAACGTAGAAAGTAATATTGTTTAACCAGTAATCTTTAGATTTTGTTTATACAAATGATACATAGATGGCACCATCATGTGTAATGATAGTAGCAAACTAAATGCTATCGTACAAGAGTTCAATAACTACCACATATCGATTACACTCACAGTAAAATCAGAAACAAACTCAGAATCTCACTTCCTCCGTGTTTTGTCGGAACGAAAATGTAATAGTTTTTTACAAAGGTTAATGTTTAGAAAAGCTCGGACAGTGTAAACATTTTCAGAAAATATCTTTTAGAAGTGGATAGGGGTACATAAAAGAGACATAAAACACAAAATTAAGAATTGTTGTACCTTTGACATCGCTTTAAAATCAAATACACGAGCACTGTTTTTAAAAACCATCTATCTGTACAAATGTACCACTTGAGATGACAAGTTCGTTGAAAATTGATTTATTGTCTTAATTTTCTCCTTATTTTCAATTTGGAATGTTTCGCGGCAGTTACTGTATCATTGAATATTGTTTTGTTTAATTTGTATAATCCACTCGTGAATTGAATCTTGATTTTAGAATTGTTTTCACTATTATATGTAGATCGATTAATTCCATGCTAGGTCAAAGGTAAAATTAACCGAGGTTAACAACCTACGCTACAACGTAGACTACGGTTAAAATGATTATATTAAATAAGAAAGATTAGTTCAGCGAAGAGTTCTCTTTTCAGCGAATTCATTTTCAAAGCTGTACAATCACAAATATATATACTTATTTTGCAAGCTGATAATAATACTGATAATAAAGTTCTGTTAGACGTGGTGACAGTGAGGTAAAATAAACAAAGGTATTAAAAAAAGCTTTTTTATAAAACAAGGAAAGTTTAATAATCGTTTGATTGGTAATGGAGTAAGTATTCATCAAAAGATAGGTAGGGAAACTATCATTGGGAAAGGATGGCTCAGCATGATAAGATAAAATGTTGAATTTGTGATTAAATGTAATCAGAGTGATCGTAGAAACAATAATAAATCATTTGGGGTAGAAGATCTAAGGTGAAGCAGATGGCTATAAAGGAAGGAGAGTATGACGGAAGAGGAAAAAAATATAAGACAATAAGACCATGGTAGAAAAAGAGGTTGTACCAGTCTCTTTTGCTCCTACAATTCTGGTTTTCCCAGATTATGGCTATCGCTTCGGCAATGTGAAGATGCAATCTAATTGTATTTGGAAGACTTCTACTTACCTTGTAGATAACTTTAAACTCAGAGTCTGTCTTGATTGAGCGACCTGTGTTCACAAGGTGTTCGATTATTGAACTTCTTATTGAGCCGTTTCCTCCTCTTTTTAGCCACCTCGAATAATGTTTTTGAATTCTTTTCGATAAAGTACGCATCGAACGACCTATATACCTATCTTCACATTAGTAAGTAAATTGGTAAATGCACATTAAGTTAGTCAGATGCGATGATTTATCTTTAATATTTTTGGTGAACAATGATGGGCTGGAGAGTACTATTCTCATTATTGCTGCTAAAAATGTTCTTTTTAAAGAATAAGAAATTCTCACCTTTAAGATGTATATGGCTCTATCACACTTGAAGTCGATGTTCATGTATAATGTTTTCTTTTCTACTGTAATTATTTGGTGTTTTCGGCGTTTTCAGTTTTATGTTCTTATCAATGAATATCGAAGGATACTCGTTTTTGATAAGTTTCTCCTTCAAGGGACCCAATTCTTCTATGAATTGAGGACTACAGATTCTTCCTCTTCTTGTAGCGAGCGTTATTATTAAGTTTCTTTTTCGACTAATGGGAACCCAACTGTGGAAACTTGATAGTTGGCCATTCCACATGGGTTTCCTTTAGATAGATCTTCTTAGAGTACCATCTTGTTTTCTTGTCATTTCCACATCAAGAAAGTGAATATTTTTTCTTAATGAGTGTATTCCGTTTACTTTAATGATCGTAAATACTTGTAAAGTAGATTTTAAATTTTCTAATGGCATTATCGGCTGATCTACTTAATTCATTCATCTGCTTAGATTATTCATTGATGTGTTTATAAATATTAGTTTCATTTGAGTTTGTTATGATATGATCTACTGATTCTATCAATATTCAATGTGTTACTTTGCCATTATCATAAGAGTTTGTAGTCACAACTAATCAACTGACATTTCTTGCATGGTTATTGTAATTCCTGACTCCTGTTAATGAAACTTTTCTGGGTATGTTTAGGAAAATTTAAAAACAAGTGATTGGTTAACTTGATTTTGGAAACGTGTACTCATGTGTTTATGAACAAACATTTTATTGGTTGTAATAATTTGTTAAATATTATATACAGTTTCTGACTTTTATACAAATAAGAATCACCAACTGTATAAAGGCAGCATGTCACCCTTTCATAATTTCCAATAACGTTCTTTAACGTTTCAAGAGATTGAAACGCGACCAGATACAACGTATTCAAGAACACGTTATCAGTATTTGTGACAGCATTCAGCACAATACAACTAGTAATTTGTGCTGATGATATCGTTCAGAAGGACGATGAAAGCTCCATAACCAAGCCATTCAGCTCAGAGAACAAAACTCCATCAAAGTAATTTGTAAGTTATTTACGTTCATAGTTTGTAGAAAAAAGGTGATCACTGGAAAAATATTTACGTTTGATATCGTTTTTCAGAAATTGAAGAATCAATAATAACCGAGATGAGAAAATTTTAAAAAAATGCATACAAAAATAGCTGTTCAATAAATGATAGATATTCCGACTAATCATTTTGATATTAAACTTTTGGTATCATATACTAACTATTGTATTAGTGTCATTATTCATCCGAAAGCATAAATCTGACTAAAATAAATGTTGTATCCCGTGGAGAATTATGGATGGTAACTTTGAGAACTATTTACAGACCAATATGATATGTAAATTTCCTATTGTATAGTTGTTGAGTAACTAAACTATTCATATTCGTGTCCCTTTTATTATGAGCTTTATTTTGACCCATAGACTATTATAATACGATTTACCATTCTTTAGTTATCCCCAGTCTATTGATTACTGTTCCCCCTATTCACAGCCACATTTGGTCAAATCTTGTAGAAATATTGTTTTCCATTTTATGGTACGATGTGATCTGTCTGGTTGGTATATAAACCCAGTATGTTTGTGTATAGTGATTCATATTGCAGAGGCTGTTATTGATGTTCTGGACTTAACTGACTGGGCTAGGCAGAAAGCGCGACTGACAAGTAATCAAGACTGCTCATACGACTTTTTTGTATCATAGCTCCGATCGATAATTCTCTCTTCTCTCATTAGCAGGAATCAGCACGTTCATATATAAAACAAAGCACGCACTCACGCGATATAACAATAAATCATTAAAAAAAATAAAGTTCCTGTAACCTATATAACCTCATTACTTGATAGTAAAAATAATGGTTCTAAACTTCCAATCTTATCATGATTTCTATTATAAGTGTTTATTTATAATTAAAATAGTATTTTTGCCAAAATATTTGTTTATATTATTAGTATGTTTAATTAATATCGTTTTGTGTTATTATAATAACATGGAAATATATTACTAACTATCAAGTGAACTCATGATAGAAGTACTACTACTACTACTAAACATGAAAACAAGCCTATAACCATATACGTGCTTTGATGCACACAACTCAAAGTCATATTATAGTGAACAGGACACTAGTGGGGACAATCGAATGTATTTAAGCACAAATTACAAATATCTTACTAAGATCTAATAACCATACAGCAAACAGTTAATTTTCAAAATAACAATCAATTGTCTCAATCTTCACTGTTCCTTCCGTAAATATCAATCCATTTTCTCTAATTTCATTGTTTATGCATTTTTGTACCAATTGCGCTTCATTTCAGTTCTTTTCTTATCGGTTTTCTGTCCAAATACATTCTATGTCTGACCATCACCATATACTACTTATGAGGATATAAGTAGACCACACTACTACTACTAATAATAATGGTCAATACTATTATTTACTTTTATCATTCCGCATGACTCTAGTTTGTTGTTCATAAAAAAGATGTACTTTGTCATACTAAAAAAGAGAAACAGATGTTTAAGGAATAATTGTTTGTGAAGGTAACAATTTTTTCAAGCTAAATGGTTTGAAAATGTAAAGTTATTGTTTTACATTAAATAAAATATTAGAATTTGTATCTAAACATTCAGGTTGAATGAATTAGTATGTGTATTAGCTTTATACAATATTATATTTTTGGTGCAATATAGAATTCTCAGCACAAAGTAATTTTAACAAGTTTCGGATTCTTATTTCTTGATCGATCCTGACTATAAATATTGAGTGATCGTCAGTTAGACGTTAGCAATCCTGTCAATCGACATCTGAATAATGTACATTATGTTCGCTGCATACATATTACCAGCCCCCGAATGCCCTGGTACAGCTGAGAATGAAGAGAGTCCGCTCTCTCTCGAAATCCTCTGACATGGCTATGTGAATATAGCCTCTGCCAGAGAAGTCCTACTCACTGCCTTCTCGTGGCATTACTGTTTTTTACAAAATTGAGAAGACGAAAAGCGAATGTCCGGCGCTTTAACTGGGTTGGTGGACACGGAACGCACACCTACGGGAGTTGAGAAACCCTGATACCAAACCAATGGTGCACATGGGCTCCAGTATCCTGAGGGAATAAATGGTGTATGAATCGATCGTTAGTCACCGGCTACCATGGGACTGCATCTCCTCACGATGCTCCACTGCCTTGTGGGTTAGACCATTAGGTCAAAGGCTCTGGGTGTGGCTCCCTATGAAAACCACCTGTTTCGGTCTGGGCACCTGGGCAGTATCATTACGCTCACACAATTAAATGAAATGACATTTTTTGTGTGTAGCATATATATCTGGTGCCCCATTGTATCAATATTTATGTGTTCAAATAAATAAATAAGTTGTTAACTTACAGAATTATTTTGACTGGTCATTGCTAATATCTACAGATATTGTAATACTTTCTTTAGTTAAATCTTAAATTTTGTTAGAAGTGCGGGTCAGTTTTTTAAGTCCTTTAAATAATACTTAGTTTAGTGTTTCGGTGTATTCAAATGAAGTTTTAATGATTAGCTTATTGATCTGTTGTTTTAGATGTATTCATGTAGGAATCCTGTTGGATAACTGTGGCAAGAAGGAAGTATCTGAAAGTTTCTTTCGACTTCCCAATAATCACACACAGAAAATGCATAAGTTCTTAATCTTAATGTTTCGTGTACTAATCAATTTATCTCTTTGTTTCAGAAATAAATTGCCTACTGTGAATAAGTTAAGACAAGTTTTTGTACTTAAATTAGTAAATGTTTCGTTTATAATTAGTTTGATGTCATCATCTTAACTCAAAACTTTATCTGGCTGGCGTAGATGTAGGTTAATACAAAGCTCAGGAGGAGCAGATGAAAACATGATATCACTTCATGAAGTTATCAACTCTGTCTGTAAGTTCTATGCTGGGATCCGCCAAACAATCATGGCCTATTGTCTGAGATACTATGTGATATGGCCCAAATTTGCTACAATGGCATAGATGTATTCATTGTTTTCATTACTTTAGACCTTGAGTCTAGTATTGTTCCATAATTTCCGTGTGTCAATCTCATTCACTCCCAAACTTCCTTGCCTACATTTAACCTTTCATTGCCTCTGTTTATTTCTTTTCCTCTGCTTCTCACGTTAGTTTCCCTTTACCACTGTCCTGTTTCAAACCGTGTCTTCCTTTGCATATGTGTATCAGGTTATACGTTGCCTATGTTCATCTGAGTGACTATTGCATATAAATAATCTACAAAAATGAAGAATAAAGATGCTTATATCCTTATATGTATAATATTCACATTCTTTTAGGGTAGAGCAACTGATCTGACTAACTTGGAGGCTGCAGCTCGACATATTGCTAAAGTATCACGACAACCGAAAGTTATAGTTGAAAAAAGTACAGTACCGGTGAAAGCAGCAGAGACTACAAGTACAATACTTCAATTTGAAGCTAAGTCTCGTCGTAGCCTATCCAATCTTACAATAACAACTAATGATAATAAGGTAAGGTACATCATTTCATTCTATTTTACTCTTCATTTCTTATTTGTTTTTTTCCAATTTACTGAAATGACTTTTTTTTATGAAAAAAGTGAATAATGATTCCTAATATGTGAAGATAATAATCTCCTTTCAATATTGAATAAAAGTAGAATATCTGGCATTTTCGAATATTCTTCTATTCAGTCAATGGGTCATTACTGTATATAAAACTGTAATTCTCATTGGAGATTTTCAATCACCTAAAGCTATCTATGTATATTTCTTCTGTGAACAGGATACTGTAGTGCTTCTTAACTTTCCGGAATAAAAAAGCAAGTAAAGTGTGAATTGTAGCTTGAAATGAATTCTTCAGTGAAAATTATGGTTTTATATACAACATTCACTCAGTAAATGAGAAAAACAATGTTAGATAATGCACACGTATTCCCCATTGAAATATGGGTGTGCTATAAAATCAATGGATACATGTTCTGTTCCTTTCTATGTTATGTGTTCAAAAGAAGATAAATAGACTATTATATAGATGCTAGTGACAATGTTTGAATGGTATACTGGGTTGTAATAAAACTTGACTTTTTGAGTAAAATGTTGTTCACTTATGTCCCTATTTTGAACGGATTTGTATTTAAAGGAATAATTTTATGAAAATTTACTACATTTAGTGGTAATTTTTATCATGGACTGATAACGTTGTAAGAGTACCGTTGAAGTGTTTTGGCTAGAACGTGGATCCACAGGTTCTCCAACTTTCATCTGTCCTTGGTGAAGATTACCTTCATTCTCGTACGATTTTCAAGAATGAATTATATATATATATATATATATATGTATATATATATATATATATATATATATATATATATATATATATATATATATATATATATATATATATATGTCGCTCATTGTTCCAGAAGTATAATCATATCATAAATTGGAATCCTGTCAGTGTTACTAATTCATCGTTCACTGAACAATTATAACTTAATCCATGAGCTTAAAATTTGTTACGTAGTTGGAGTTTTGTAACATCATGCATCACTAATCGTTTTCATTTCACTATCTTACTCTGTTTTCCTTAAGGCATTATATCTGAGAACCTTTTTGAGTTGTACAAAACTAACCTTTGATAATTTAATGTATTACATGTAGGTGCTAATATCTCTCCATCGTTGAATAGTGTATTCTAAGCTCCTTACACCATTTAAGTCTCATCTGCTTTCCTTTCATTTGAGATAATACAGAAACGTTGTAACGCCCACTACACACAACTATTTCATACTTTGTAGTTAGACAGTCCTAAAATTAAGACTAATGCCGGACTGTTGCATAATGTTCTAAGAAGACTGGCTTTTATTTAACAAATCCAAGTCATTTAGGTATTTGTAGGTGAATTAGTGTTGTTTACTTAACCATTGATAGTCATAGTGAATGTATATTAAGAACTCATATCAGAAAATGTATCAAAATTCCTTGGCTAATAAGTACATTCTCATGTAAATTAAAATTAAACAACTGAATGGGATGGTGAAGATTCTTTGTATGGTTCGCACATTGATATTCTGACCGTCACTGTTACTTTGACGTGGTGGTCGGGCTTGCTTATCGTGATGAACCAATTGAACTATACTAGATGAAACAATCGTCCCTTAAGGTCCTACCATCCAAGGCAGGTCGGTTGAAGAGCGGAAAAACTAAAAGCAACAAACCCAAAGTCCGAGGGCGATGTCGTACTGCTGACTGCACAGAGGTGTGACGGTAGTAAGATGTTTTCTTTAGACAACCAGTATGACAGCGATGCTGTCTCCTCACAAGGAAGGGTTGTGTTAAAAATGATCGACCTTAAAAATGCTCACCTCGCCTTATCACACGAATTTCCGTCTCCGGAGGTAAGGTCTCAACAAGTACGGAGCTAACACGAAGATTACTCACAAAAGCGTTGTGTGTGACTGACCTTAAGCAGTTTCCCATTGGTCACTGCGGTCACGCTCTGAGGTCTTTAAGACCACCTCGAACTCAGTTTCCTTTTCAGGTTCGTCTAGAAGAACCCTTCCACGGTGTGGGAAACAGGGAAGTGAGAACCGGCCTCAAACTTCTAACAGCACTCAAAATCACTGGTGCATTGTTATCGTCCATTTATAATTCTTTAACGCCGAAATTTACCCAAGGGAATACTAATATCCCCTCAAATTCCATTGTGTTAGTTTAGTTATAATTTTTGACTTTCTTTAGGATTTATTTTATTTCACTTTTCTTTATTAGATCTATTCTTAATCCTTTGTTATGTTTCACGTGTTAATAAATGTAAAAATGTCTTTTACACATATAAATAGAAATCCCTCAAATAAATAATTAGAATTAGTGCGTAGTTAATTCGAATCTGTAAAAGTTCGGTATTTACTTAAAAAATAAAAGGATATCTATGAAAAGAAACTGGCTTGATAATTGATAATCGTAGTGTTTAAGTCTGATTAATATTCCACTAGAGATATATGTATGACTGTATATATGAAATTGTCTCCATACTTATTTTCTTGCTTACGCCTGTTACCTCTCGTGGAGGAGCATAGGCTACCCACCAGCATTCTCCATCCAACCCTGTCCTAGGCAATATTTTCTAGTTCTTTCAATTTGATATTCGTCCTTTTGATATCTGCTTCTATTTCCCGGCGTAATGTGTCCTTTGGCCTTCCTCTTTTCCGTTCCCTTTCCGGATTCCAATTTAGGGCTTGCCTCGTGGTGCAGTTTGGTGATTTCCTCGATGTATGTCCTATCCTTTTCCAACGTCTTTCCCCAATTTTCCCCTCATCTGGAGCCTGGTTTGTCCTCTCCGACAGAAGGCTGTTGTTTATGGTATCCAGCCAGTGAATGTTGAGTATTTTGCAGTTCCTCGAAGTATTCTACCCACATGTTCCTCTGTTCTGGAATCTCGGTGATTGTCTTACCTTATTTGTCCTTGACGTGTCTATCCGGTTTACTATATCTCCGTGCTAGTTTCTTCGTTGTATCATATAGTTGTTTCATATTCCCTTCTCTTGCAGCTCTTTCCACCGTCGTTGCTAGTTCTCCCATGTATTTCTGCTTGTCGGCTTTAATGCTCTTCTTCACTTGTTTGCTTGCTGCTGTATATTCAGTTTGTGCTTTGACTTCCTCTGTTCTTGTTCGGCTGTTGTTGATTGCTGTCTTCTTGTTCTTCCTTTCTTGAATCTCGTCCAGGGTTCCCATAGAGGCCTATTCCTTATGATGATGCTTCTTGCGACCCAGAATCTCCTGACACGTTCAAGTTAGTGCTTCTTTGATCCCTTTCCAGTTGTCCTCCATAGTATTTTCCTCTTTGAATAAATATTGTAAAGCTAGGAACCTGTTGTTGAGAGTTATCTCGAATCGGTATAGTTTGTTAGTATCTCGACGGAACGCTGTACTGAACCTTTGTAATACTGTTCCCTCAGTTTCCCAATGCTTCTTTAGCTTCAGTTTGATCTTGACAACCACCAGGTGGTGGTCTGAAGCTATGTCAGCTCCTCTCCTGGTCCTCACATCTTCCACTGACCTTGTTAACTTTTTACTGACGCAAATATGATCTATCTGGTTCTCTGTGGTGTGGTCCAGAGAGGTCCATGTAGCTCTGTGTCTGCGTTTGTGTGTGAATATTGTGCCTCCTATAACCAATTTGTTGAATGCACATAGGTTTGCAAATCTCTCCCCATTTTCATTTCTCTCTCCTAGTCCATGTCGTCCAATTATATCTACATATTTAGTGTTGTCCACCCCGACTTTGGCGTTTAGACCTCCCATCTGGATTGTGAGGTCCTTTCGTGGGCGCTTCACTATGATCGATCGCAGCCTCTCATAGAACTGATCCATAATGTCGTCGTTGCTATCATTGGTGGTGCATATCATTGGATAACGTTCATTGTGATCCTCTCCTTTGTTTTGAATGATGCTTTGATGATCCTCGATCCATGAGATTATCATCCTTTAAGTGCATTTCGTGCTTGTTTTGACGGCGTCAGAGTGACTCTCTTCGTGTGTGGAGCATTTCCCCCTTCGTGACCGGAGTACAGCAGCATCTCTCCCGTATCTATCCTTTGCTGTCCAGCTTGGGTCCAGTGAGTTTCGCTGATCCCAAGTATTGACAATTTGTATCTCCTCATTTCCATAGCTATTCGACTAGTCGTTCAGGTCTTCCACATTGTCCGTTCGTTCCATTTACGTATAAAAATTGTTGCTTTGGTTGTCGGAAGGAGCATCGGCTTTGTGACTTTCGAGAAATCTGGGCTTTCATCTTAAGGCGTCATAATTCTTGCTTCAACTCCCAGGGCAGGGTTTAAATTGTTTGAATTATTTTTTCTGGTTTTTTAGAGAGTTAGTTTTCTATGAGATACGGTTGCTAACCTCATGTCCAACCCTCCTTTATCCAGGCTTGGGACCGGCAGTAACTTTAGAAGAGCTACAGGCGGAGTTTATCTCCATACTGTGGAAGTTAAAATCTCCATCGAGTATAGATGTGTACAGTTTTCCTAAAAGTTAAGTAATCTTCGTCTATACATTTTGTGTCTGTGAAGGAAAAGCATGATTGCATTACTATAAGCAGAGATGGATATTAGCTAGCAGTGGAATCCAGGACGCTCGTTCCGTCCTATTTGGGACTCATGAGCTGGATGTACTTCACCCCAGAGTTGATCTTCACTCCGAGACTCAAACCCCTTAACGTTCGCTTCAAATGCCATTGTGCTATCCACTTAGCTACTGAGTCCACTTAACCACTAGCTTGTGCTATCGCCTGAATTTTTAATTCTTTTTGTATTGGTGTTATGAATCTTCCTATTGATATTTAAGGCTGCAATTGATCAGTCTCTTATTGGCATATGTGCATTCTGTGCTGATTGTTTTGATAATACCTTAAATTACATGCATTATAAGCAGAGATAGATTGTGGCTAGCAGCGGACGCACATATGGCGATGAGAGACTGATTGGTTACAGTTCTAAACCTCAAGGGGAAGAATTGTATTTCCAACGTGTCGTGGCCGAACGTAAGCCTCTTCTTCAGAGTAAATAAATAACTTGTTTTAATTTATTTCGGCTATGTGCTTACTCTGAAGAACCGGCTTACATTAAGTCACGAAACGTCAAAAATACAATATTTTACTCATTTGGACATAACGAAAAAACATATTGATTATTAACTTTCTACTCAAACTATGAAGTCTAACCTTGACATTAATACCTATAAAATCAACGGGAATATTCAAGTAACCAATACAGAAATGAATTATAATTACAACATTTTGTTTACCTCTTTCAACCAGTTCCATTAAATTTAAAATACTAAATATTGTCTCACTATTTTTCTAAATTTTGTTTTTATAAATTTTTCATTTCTATATTGTCAACTTTTTAATTTATCATTATTATTCATTTTATTTATTATGGGTTTGTTTTTTTCATTTTTATTGATTATGCATAAAAGCTTAATGAATTTGTAGTCTTATCGAATCCGGAATTTTTAGCTGAAGGTACTGCTGTCAATGATTTATGTAATCCAGATCGTATTTTAATTGGTGGTGATTCACATTCATCATCTGGTAAATTAGCAATTGAAATGTTACGTTGGATATATTTACATTGGGTACCAGCCGAACGTATACTTATTACATCGACGTGGTCATCAGAATTATCTAAATTGGTAATTCATTTTCATAATATTTATATGCTCACTGTTGACCGGCTTCAAAATATAACTCTTGGAGTTCTAGTGAGAAGTCACGATCAGTGGAGTTCAATCCTTGGCAATGAATGAAAGGTTGCGCAAGATCATGGATTGATTGAAGTTAGACACCGTTAGATGCCAGCTCAGTGGTCTAGACTTTAAGCGTTCGCGCGCGCGACGGAAGGTTCTGAGTTTGATTCCTGGATCCTAGTTCGTGGGATCACACTGCTCCAGAGTCCCTTACTAGAGCAAAACAGCTATCCAGTGTTTTCGGGTTTTCAATTATCCTGTCTATATATATATATATATATATATATATATATGTCTGTAAATTAATTAACCATATACTCATTACTTAGTTTTGTACCACAAATGACGTAGTTACGTACAGATTAAGATTTCCTATTGATGGTGTATTGTGGCCTTGTAATTGATGTATATTATCATGTAACATTTCATTCATAATATACATAGAGTAAATCGGATAACCTTTCTCGTCGTCTAATTGGACAGGCTAATAGCAGAAAGAATTAGCCTTGGGATGTTAGCGTTAACGTATCCGATTGGTATTGACTTTGTTGGCATAAATTAATTTATTTGTAATGTACTCAATTTATCAGTTACCCATTTAATTGGGCACATAGACACTAAATTCATTTGGTATAATAATTTCAAATGTCAGAAATCAACCTTAACATTCATTGGTCGTTTGTTCGTGCTCAATCTTTTCATCATTATTATTCCATTCATAGGCAGCTAATGCTTTTCTTGCTCAACGTATTAGCAGTATCAATGCTATCTCGGCTATATGTGAGCAAACAAATGCTAATATTAAAGAAGTGTCTAAATCAATCGGTACAGATCATCGAATTGGTCCGCATTTTCTAAATGCTAGTCTTGGCTTTGGTGGTAGTTGTTTTCGTAAAGATATTTTAAGTTTGGTAATTTTGAATACATTTTTATTATTCTAAAATTTTCATTTTTTCATAAATTTTTCTGTTGAATAAGCAATAAGAATAGTGCTTATTTTGTACACATATTTTAAGAAAATTCTATTTACTATTCGAATTAGTTAACTCCACTTGTAGCTTTTCTACGGTTATTGCCGGTCTCAAGACCAGGTAAAGGAGGAGGGTTGGTCATGAGGCCAGCAACCCCATCCCATGGGAAACAACGTTGCTAAAAAAAACGCTCACCGAAATAATGATAATTCGAATCGGTTAACATGAAATTTATTATTTTTGTTGCCAATAAATTTACTAAATCCATCTGTTTATTAATAAAAATGCTGTTCGAAATTATTATTTTTGACTTTTATTATATGCTTATCATATCAAAGTAACTAAACAAAAAAGATTACGACTGGTGGTATAAAAAAGAAAATTTCTGGAATGTTGATTAACTACAATATGATGTTTTTGTCGAAAAACCAATGTTCTCAGTCATAACTCTGGTTGACGAGTGTAGTTATAATCGAAAATTGCACATCATGGCTTTCTTCTATTCTCCCTATTGTAGGTATTATGCTTCATGGGAATATAACTGTCCAAACAAATTCGGCAATTCCTAAAGGGTCATTTTTAGTTTATATACATGAGATCAGCTGTAATACGATACTTAATTATTGTGTACATTTCATACTCAGTAATTCAATAATTAGAATATGTATCTTATGCTTGCAAAGCAAATGAGTCTGAGGCCGAAAAAAAAAGTAAAACAGTATAAATTAGCAAATGATTATGCAAAGTCTACTCAACTAATCCTGATCATATTGGTCATTATGGGACTTCTTTTATCCACTCCGCGTAATGATAATGATATGACTAAGTAAAATGAATATGAGGAGCATTATACACTTTTCACTGTAATAAAAAAGTTCATTACATAACCATTCACATATCTATTCACTCGAATAACATTTAAAAAAAACCTTGTACTTGTAATCCTTTCTAGAAAAATGCCAGGTATTTGCAAGAATTAATCGAAATACAATAAAAATTTTCAAAACAATTTCTCTAGGTCTTTTATTTTGTTTGTGATAGATGTCACACTCTTAATTAGCAGTACAAAGAATTAAGAAAATATCTTTTTTTTTAAAGATAACCAGGGCATTACAGTTAGTTCATATGGTATAATAACCAGACTACATAAAATTAATTATAAAAATGTTCACTGTTGTATTTACAAGCTCATTTTTCTTGGTGTTGTTTTTGTAAAAAGGTCGTTGCCATAGAAATTCTCTGTGTTCAGTTATTTCATACATTTAAGTTTGAATATGTTCATTTGCGATTAATCATACGGTATCATCGTATTGTCATAATAATTTGTGGTTTTGCCCAAATGCTTCGCTTATATGTTTTTCAATCCGACAAATATTGAGATAAACACTCCAATATGTCTTAAAGTTTAGAATTTTGAGTGGTAGGCGTATACATCTATGCGGTTTCATAAAAAACTGACTTTATATGTGGATGTTAAATACTGAAAAACTGAAATGCAGTCATCATAGCTCTTGGTATAGTCTCCTTTTGTGTTCTCTAATGACATAATAGATGACTACATTGGAATTCATTAGCTCAATATATGATAGATGAAGGAAAGAACTGTAGTCATTGAACCAGTAAAAAACTTTCACAATTGAAGACTTAATTACATTGCCAACAAACAATTATACACTTTCAGTGTTAAATTACAGTACTACACAATGGTAGTATGATGAGTCTAGTGACCATACAGTTATACTTAGTACGTTTAAACTGAAATACTTTCAGTCAAGCACACTCAGTATATATATATATATATATATATATATATATATATATATATATATATATCAATAAATTACCCCACTTGTCATACTGAAGTATTTAAGAATATGATTATACGGTTCTTCCGGACAGCCCTCAAATGCCCTGGTATGGCTGATAGTGAGGAGAGCCCGCTCTCTCTCTCGAAATGCTCTCACATGGCTACGCGTATATATCCCCTGCCAGGGAAGTCCTACTCACTTCCTTCTCGTGGCATTACTGTTGTCTACAAAATTGAGAAGACGAAAAGCGAATGTCCGGCGCTTTAACCGGGTCGGTGGACACGGAACGCACACCTACGGGAGTTGGGAAACCCTGATTCCAAACCAATGGTGCACATGGGCTCCAGTATTCGGAGGGAATAAAAGGTGTATGAATCGATCGTTGGTCACCGGCTACCATGGAACTGCATCTCCTCACGATGCTCCACTGCCTTGTGGGTTAGACCATTAGGTCAAAGGCTCCGGGTGTGACCCCCTAAAAAACAACCGGCTTCATTTTAGGCATCTGGGCAGTATCAAAGCCCTCACACAAATCATAGGAGAATTGTGTGTAGCATATATATCTGGTGCCCCTTTGTATCAATATTTATGTGTTTAAATAAAAAAATCTTGCCATCAGAATTTATTTTGTGTACTGATTATAATGATAGGCAAACAACATAATTTTTAAATAGATAAAACTTCTATTTTTCACATCCAACCGATTTCCACTTTTTTAACAATCATATTCAAATGGATCAAATTTTTCGTTACAGTTTTATTTGTATATTTTTGTTGTTATTACACTCCTAGATGTATATATCAGAGACATTGAATTTACCAGAAGTAGCTTCTTATTGGTATAGTGTACTACAAATGAATAATTATCAAATTGATAGATTTACACGTAATGTAATTGGAAAATTACATAATACATTAAAAGGAAAACGTATTGCAATATTTGGCTTCACTTTTAAAGCAGATACATATGATACAAGGTTAGAATGTCTTTAAAATTGAAATAACTATCTTGACTATTACATTTACTTACAAAGTCTATTTATTAATTGCATATTCTTTATATATCATGTATAATTATCAGCCTGCATATTTGATTTGGAACGTGTTTATTTTTTTCAATTTATATTGGACAAATCTATGTTATAACCTGCTTTTGCTAATCATTTATAAAGTTTCAGTAGACTGGTATGTGAGACTTAAAGATGCAAGAGTGAACACAAGGTACTTACTCTTCAATACTATGTCCCCCCTCCATGGGTTTTAATCCGACTTCTGATTATTAAGGAGATAAAAGGAAGATAAACCTGGTTTGTAATTTCGAAGATAATGTTTCATGAGAAAATGCGCTCTTTAATTACAAATTTTCCTTTCAGAGATTGTTATCAGCTATATTTATATAATTATAACTTAAATTTTATGGTGAACAAATACCATTGATCGGTTCATGATCTCAATGAAATACCCAATCGCCGCAACCGTACACTGATAATGATATTCTATCCCTAAAATTCAATCTGAGTGATTTATATGAAATTCAACTGATTTCGAAAAAATTATTATATATGTATATTGTTACATAGAAACCGACAAAGATTCAAATAATGCAGTCTGCGTACTTCAAATTCTTAGATGGTAATATTCTATCGTATTTAGTAACTAATAGATTAACCATTAATGTTTTAGGAGTGCAACTGGGAAGATTCAAACAAACAATACTAAGTGAATTTAAACTTCACTCCATAGCACAAGCAAATGGCTATCAGGACTCAGTGGCCGAGTGGATAACGCGATGGCGTTTGAAGCGAAAGGTACTGGATTCCCAGTCCCAGAGTGAACATCAACTCTGAGATGCAGGTACATCCAGCTGACGAGTCCTGAACAGGACGAAACGCGCGTCCTGGATTCCACTGCTAGCCACTGTCCATCTTTACTTAATATAACTTTGTTTGCATATTATGTAAATCTTAATCATTTGTTAACTATATACATTTCTGTCTGTCAATATGTTATTTTAGATCTCCATTTCATCAATGCATTTTTGACCTATATTCACATTATCATCGTTTTTTTTCTTAAAAAATAATTAGAGATAGTCCTGTGATACCATTGTGTAATCAGTTATTACAAGAACAAGCTGAACTAGCAATCTATGATCCTAAAGCTCATCATAAACAAATTGAATCAGACTTGTTAATTAGTAATAATAAGGATTCTTGTAAGTAGCATAGTATTCTTTAAACAGTTCTTTTATCATGCCTATTTCATTTGTTTCGTTTTAATTCAATTCCGGCTGCTTATTAATAAACCACTTAAAGTAAGAATGTCTTTGAATTTGAAAACTTTGGTCTGAATCACTGTTATTCAAATTACTTGCTAAGGGGATGTAAGATTACAATAATTTTTATCATTATAGTTCAACTATAGTTCTTCATTATAAGTGGATATTCATCGATTGACTATAAGGAACAAAGTGTGTGTAGTTTTCGGCATTTCTTAGTAGTCTGCGATTTTACCCAGAAAATTATATGAATGATACGTCAAGAGATGGAACATAATGACCTAACTTATTGAATATTGAAACAACAAGAATCATAACGACAATGTTGGCTTTATTTATTTGTGTCTATTCGGTTGCACTAGAAAATTCTTGACAGGAAATTTACAATGTTCCAATGAATTCTCCTTTTAGATCCACTTAAATTTTAAATACTCAAATATAATTTAAAACAAAAAAATTACTCAGCATTCATTTTCATCATTCCAAGTGTTTACGACCGATTTCGTCCCTATGACATTCTCTGCCATTGCGTAATGTACATTTTGATGCATAATCGTCTTTACTTTTTCTAGATGACAGGAAAAATGAGAGTATGTCAACCAGTGATGATAATGATTCTACTCGAATTTCCTGTTGTCTAGTTCCGCTGTGTATTGTAACTTACTTACGCCTCTTAGTTCTTGTAGAGCATAGACCGTCGACCAGGATTCTCCAACCAATTCTGCCCTTGGCTTTTCTTTCTAGTTGTTTCCAAGTGTTGTTTATTCATTTGATATCTGCTTCCAATCCGCAGCGCTCTTTGTTCTTTGCTTTGAAGATCTGAACTTGGGACTTGCCTCGTGATTTTAAGTGATTTCTGCAATGTGTCCCCCAACCAACTCCATCGTTTTTTCTTAATTGCCTTTTTAGCTGAAAGCTGTTTTGTTTTCTACCAAACTAGGTTATTGTTGATGGTGTCTGGCTAACAAATTTGGAGTATCGTGTGTAGACAGTTATTCATAAATCCCTGTACTTTTTTGATGATGGTAGTTTTCCGAGTTTCAGCTTGGTGATTGTATTAAAAATCCTGATTTTTATAAAAGCGTGCCAATACAATAGGAGGTTTCTATACGTAATGGATTGCCTAAATCGAATCTGAAAAAGTATAAATTTATTGCATTATTTGGATAGCTAAAAAATAGATAACCCAGAACCCCAAGAATACTGTAATTGGTCCCTAGAGTTTGTTCTTCTTGTCACCATTATTATTATTATATGAGATAGATTTAGTATGGTTTAATGCTTTATTTCAAATACAAATTTCACTTTACCAGAAAATCTTCACATTCAATTGATAAATATTTGTCATTTATTAGTTTTCCGAATGTGTGTGAGCGTGTATGTGAACGTTAGATCACAAAATTGTAGTTTTGTAACAGTGGAGAATCTGAACACATCAGACCTATGTACATACATTGATTATGTATGCTCTTCCGTGTGTTTAGAATAACGATGTTTTTTAAAAATTTAGGTGACCTTTGTAGCATGGGTCATTATTGTCGAAAACAACCAAACTTATGCTTTACCAAAAATGTAAACAGCATTTAAACGGTTTTGTCACGTCCCACTGTGTCTGTCCATCATAGGACGAAACGGCCGTCTAGCGCTTCCAGATTTTCGATGGTGGTCTAGCTTCAATTGACTCATGATTTCAACTATGAAATCAAAATCATCAAAATATATAGCGTTTAACAATCAAATCAAATCTACACTAAGCTAATTCAATCATATCATATCATACTTGCTTTAGCGAATTCGATAACATAAGTCAGTCAATGCGAATCATGAAAAGTTCTTAATGTTCACAATGAACGAATCGTGTATGTGTGTGTATGTCTAAGATTGAGTTATTATTAGTTGATATTCGATGTTAATCTGTTTTTATATGAAGGAGAAATAAAAGTGCAAGTTGAAGGTTGAAAAATTGTTTCTGAATCATCGATGTGCATGTAAAATCAGAATCATCTAATACATAATTGTGTTGTTAACATAACCCACATTATTAAACTATCACAAATTTATTGATGAGTTACGAATTGATTTTATCTTTCAATAATGTTTGTTGACCTGAATAAAATAGAATTAATTGTTGGAAATATTTTCCAGATAACAGCACTACCATACGTTTGAGCTAACAAACTTTCACATCATACGAATATGGATCTACCTTACGATCCTATTATTCGTTTCAATATCTTTATTAATGTATTAGAAGAGTGGAAGAATATAAAACATGTATCGATGTACACAATTAGATAATGCTTCTTCTCATGTATCTTTCTTCATATTATTATTATGTTCAGTGTTTTTTTGTGTGTATATGTGTTTTAGTAAGTCAATTCGTTCACATTTGTTCTACACCTGAAGAAGCTGTCACCAACGCCTATGCTATTCTAATATGTACAGATTGGAAATGTTTCCAAGTAAGTATTGTATTGTATTATCGAATTTTTCTTGTTAAAATATTGATAAGCGATTCGAACGAATTCTTTTTGTCTTCCTTTTAATGTATGATTTAAACCAACACGTCCATGTAATGGTTATCTTACATCGTATGGTAATGCTACAACATAATTATATGGATATAAAAATGTTTGAATTTATTTTATAAATAATAAATCTGTCTGTCTTTGCAGAGTTGACAGTTCAGTTGTCGATTGCAAATAGTATAATATAGACATATTGATGTATTACTTTTTGGTGATGTATATTATCTCAAAATTGGTAACTCAATGAACATTTGTGACTTGCTGCTGACCTCATTGCTTTTGATGAAGTGAACTTAAATACTCAAACATCGATGCCAATTGTTATTTCATGTTTAAGAAACAGTTCCCATATACATCATCTTTCTAGTTAGAAAATGTTATCCATAACTCCTATAGTCTTCGAATAAACCTTCGAACCAGTAATTTCTTCTTTCTCATACGCTGCCGACTGAAAATACACAAAATATCGTGGTACTTATAGAGAGTTAAATATCATTATCGCTCAATTCTGTTGGAACTAGGAACGTTATGTGTACAGTACTATTAATTTTTGTTAGGTGGTTACGGGTGAACAACGGAAAACCCTAGATCTATGTTTCTTGTTATTTGATATACAAATGACACAGGATTGAACCTGTCAGGAAGCACCAATTCCATCGAAATTATCAACATTTTGAAATCATGAGCGCAATATACATTCAATTAGATAGATAAGCAGATAAATTGCAATTTAATCGATCAGACTGGAGGACGAGACATGAATGGTACTGGTCATTACTCGTTGATCAATCAGTTGTGACCGTCAAGTATTGGTGTTAATATAAAACTGGCTGGTTAAAACGTTTATACCGTCCTTGTTAGGTCATTAGCAACTTCCTTTAATAGAATACATAAAATAACCAAAAATACATTGTTTGTAGGTTTTAACTGACATCATACTTAATTTCTTGATACTACCTAAATGTATTAGTAGTCTATAATTTTACGAGTATTTAAATTTTAATTATTTTATTCAAAAATAGATCAGTAAATTTGATAATGAGTCTGTTAAGACGTAAACGAAATTGTATGTTTTATTTATACTGGATCATGTAAACTTTTGAATTAAAATTGTGAATTTATGTTCATCATCATCCATGTCAAGTAGAGACAGCTATCTACCGCAGTACAATGGAAGTTAGTCGCGCAATTTCGTGGATTGGTTGAGGTTAGACATTAACACCGTTGGATGCCGGCTCAGTGGTCTATCGGTTAAATGCTCTGGCGCGAGACTGGCAGGTCCTGGGTTCGAATCTCGCGAGGCGAGATCGTGGATGCGCACTGCTAAGGAGTCTCACAACAGGACGAAACAGCCGTCCAGTGCTTCCAGGTTTTCCATGGTGGTCTAGCTTCAATTGACTCATGATCTCAACTATATCAAAGCAGATTCCTCTGAAATTTTATTACAAAATCATGACTACTGAAATGCATTTATATCAAGTAGTTAAAGTGTTATTCACCAATTAAGTTTGAATGGTTGTTACATTAATTAAAATTGAAAGTGCTAGTTGTTGGATTACAGCATTGTGATAAAAAACTAACGCTCTCGCTGTAAGATCTTAATGTATTATATACAATCTCTGGTAGATCTTGAATATGGAGATTAGCTACATTTTATGGTAGTTTCTTTGTTAAACAATTTCTGTTTATGAATCAAATTTCTTTAATTTACACTCTTAGCACGTTTTTGCAATACACAAACAATCCAAACACTACATTTTCAAAATGTTACCGCTAATGAAAATGTAAAATCAAAAGCCAATAACAAATATTTATGAAAAAGTCTATTAAAATTAGCGTATAGTTCAAATGTGCAAAAAATTAATTAACTATCAGTCAACCGACAAATAAACAAAATCAATGTAGGGATTTGTGGAGATTGTAGTATTTTCGCAGTTGAATTCATGAGTCATTCTAAGATAAACCGCCATTGAAAACCCGGATACACTGCAAGGCCGTTTCATCCTACGACAGGACTTCTCAGCAGTGCGTATCCACGATCCCGCACTTGGGACTCGAACCCAAGACCTTCTGTCTCGCGCGTAGACACTTAACCTCTAGACCACTGAACTGACATCCAACGGTGTTAATGTCTAATTTTAATTGATATATGATCTCGTGCAATCCTTTATCCATCGCCTTAGGTGGATAATTGCCTCGCACCCGAGACGGATTGAACTTCACTGGTTATGGCATCTCACTAGAACTCCAAGAGTTACGTCCTGAAGCTAGTCATTAGTGAGCTCATGATTATTATCTGTATTGGGATTTGTGGAGACTAATATTTTCACAGTTGAATTCACGAGTCGATTGAAGCTAGACCACCATTAAAAACCTGGAAGAACCGTACAGCCTTTTTACATTAGTATAGAACTCATCGCACGCGAAACTCAAACCCAAACAAAAAAAGTAAATTTCCAAAGAGTTCTTTTCATAATAGAGCATTACATTTTGTTTATTTGTTGTTCACTAATACATTTCTTTATTTCCTTAAAATTTATTCCAAGGATTATGATTATGCGAAATTTTACCGTTTAATGATAAAACCAGCAAGAATATTTGATGGACGCATTATATTGAATCATAAAGAATTAAGCCAAATAGGTTTTATTGTTGAAGCAATCGGTATTGCATCAGAGAGTTTTACCATGAATGGTTATGTTGACTAACAATAGTAAACAGTAATAATATAATTAAATATATTAGTTATTATCACTTTCATTTATGATTTCACATAAAACTGAAACCAATTTATCTGTAACTACACTCCAGTCTCATTTTATTTTGTATTTCTGTGTATATGTGCTTTGTTCAAACATATCCATTAACTAAAGATAGACAATGTATTGTCAATCTATGCAAACCTATCTTGTATTATTGAAAATTGTGTTTATACCGTCATCTAGTGTCTACTGAAAATTATAATAATGTACTGTTTATCCTCAGGGGCTTGAGTTGTTTTTTCGATTTAAGAACAGTATAATTCTCTCATTTTTACGTTGAAATAATTTCCACTGTTAGCTTATTTATGCATAATTTATTTTTATTACTGATGACCTATGAAAGCGTAGTCTTTAACAAATGACGACAACAAACTTTTCTTACAACTTTATTCTAATACACAAGAACGTTTAACTTTATTAAACAATATAATATTGGTACTACTGTGGTATGGGATACTGATGTCGACAGATATAAGTACTATGTAGCACCAATCGAAAGTGAAACACAGAAGGTTAAGGAGATTAATGAGAACAGAGAGTGATTAGTATGCAAACGAAGGAATAACAAATTCTGAGACAATTGATGGATATTTTACAAATGAATTATTCACTGTATGGTTCTCAGATTTTACCAATCCATTCTGTAATATTGTATTGAAATACACTTATGTATCCCCGCCTGTGTTCTCGTTCACTACACTACCACTATTGCTATTGCTACTAATCATTATAATCATAAATCGATTCCCAATTTTTATATTTATGCACTAAGCATCGTTACTCTTTCTTTCTTTTTTCCCTATCATTTGTAATTTCTTCTGTAAACTGCTAACCATTGCAGTCGATAATGACCCAGTGATTTGTTCTCACCGAATGGCTATTATTTCTACAGTTATTTTGATTAGTCTCGAATTGTGTCTACTTTCGTTTACTTCTTTTCTTGTTTTCTTTTTCATAAACCATTCCTGTATATTTCATATAGCAAATTATCTATGAATTGGTTGTGATAATGTCTTAAGTAAATACACATTTATTAGAATGTACAAATCATAAAAATGTTTACTTTCTTGCAATAACAGTAGTGCTCTTTTGTTGTGTTTTGACCACTTGAAGTAATTCTAGTGAAATAAGCTAAAGTATGCATTCTTTGTAAATTGTTTTTTTTTCATTTTTAAAGTAGTTTGGTGTTTATTATGCATCGAATGAGAAGGTTTATCAGTCAGTGTAGAAAAAAAATATTTGGACAAATAAATTTGAACGTTTATACTTATTTACCATCATTCTAAATAATAGAGATAAGGTAGAAATCTGAACTTGTTTACGAAAAACATCATTGAAATCTTAATCTGTAGTGATTTCAATATGTTGACAACAAAATGATTTTTTTTGGTTTTAACTCCATTGTCTACTTATTTTATTTATTATTTATTTGAACACATAAATATTGGTACAAGGAAGCACCAGATACATATGCGCCACACAAATCTCATTTGATTTGTGTGAGGGCTATGATACTACCCAGGTGCCCAAACTGAAACAGGTGGTTTCCTTAGCGGGTCACAGCCGGAGCTTTTGACCTAAAGACCTAATCCACAAGGCAGTGGAGCATAGTGAGGACGATCGGTTCATACACCATTTATTCCCTCAGGATACTGGAGCCCATGTGCACAATTGGTTTGGAATCATGGTTTACCGATTCCCCTAGATGGGTTTTCCGTGTCCACCAACCCAGTTAAAGCTTCGGACATTCGCTTTTCATCCTCTCAATTTTGTTAACAACACCCTCGCCATGAGAAGGCAGTGAGTAGGACTTATCTGGCAGAGGCTGTACATTCGCTTGGCCATGTGAGAGCATTTCGAGAGGGAGAGCAGACTCTCCCCAATATCGGCCGTACCAGGGCATTCTGGGGCGGACAACTAGACTTTCTTAATCTTGTAATTTCATATAAAAAATACGGAAGTTGTATTTATTGATTTGTTTATTTACAGTACCACTGTTATTTGATAGTATCACCAGCAAAAAATGAAATGCATAACTCATTTTGATGTATCAGATTGTAGAATTTTTGTATGTTTTCATTTATTTGTTAGTGTTTATCATTTTCTTGTCTTTAAAAGTATTCGTTGCTTAGGTTATAATATATAATTTAGAAAAACATTACTGTGACTATCGTGTAAATTTTCAATCTTTCCTAAGATAATAAGATATTTGAGGTCAAGCTTCAAATAAATTATCGTTTAGTAACTGCTATTATGATGTAATAGGACTTCAACTTTATCTCTCCATATTTATTTTTTGAAGTTATGTTTTATAATATGAAATTCTATTACTTTGTTGAGAGATATGAGAAACCTCTTTATTTAGATGGGATTAATTAACTCAATAAAGTGTTCTGATTATATTTAAAGCTGTTCTGTGATCAACATATCAGCCAACTATTTATTAATGATGCTTTCACAGTACAATTCTAAAAATAGACTTATAAGCAAATATATCATCCATTACAGAAACAGTAAATAAGTCCGAACACTTCACCTGAAGTTTAGGCTGATGATGTCTTTCAAAATGACTATGAATGGTCCACTACTAAGCCTTCCAGCTTAGAGAACAAAACTCCACCTAATAAGTTGCAGTTTGATTTTCTCTGTATTATATGACATTTAAGATATATATAACTTTTTCTAATAATTTAACGCTAACAAAGGAGTCTAGATAGCTATAATGTACTCGTTTAGTCTTAATGACACACGCATTTCGAGAGGGAGAGCGGACTCTCCCCACTCTCGGCCGTACCAGGGCATTTGGGTGGTCTAGCTTCAATTGACTAATGATCTGAACTCTATAAAATTTAAAATGACTTATGTTATATCCCCCGGTGAATTACGAATGTTAACTTTTAGGTCTATTTATCGACCAATGTATTATGCCTATTTCCTATTGTACAATTGTTACGTAACTAACTATTCATATTCGTGTTTCTCTTATCATGAGCTTTATTTTGATCTTTGATTTATTATCATACGATTCTTGAGTTATACTCAGTTTGTTGATTACTTTGGTCTGTATAAAAACCCAGTGTGTTTGTAAATAATGATTCATACCACTGAGGCTGTTATTTGTGTTTTGGACTTCATTGGCTGGGCTAGGCAGATCGCAGGACCGGTTAGCACTCTAGGCTGCTCGTACGCGTTTCGTGTCACTGTTCAACCGATAATTCGCTGCGTCCTGTTTGGCGGTCTTATCGCGTCACACATTAGCAACCCATCCACTCGGCCACAAGATATAACAACTTACTTACAAAAGATTCTTCTAATAAGAAATATCCCGTTTTTTTTGTACTTTAATCTGGAATAATTTATTTTCTTGTAACAACTGGTATGTTATTTCGTTGGCAACAATACCTTTTGGTATTTTCTTACCGATTTGCTTTTTTTGGTTTTAAAAATTTTGTAAATTTCTACAATAGACTAATATAATAAAAGCGAGTTAACACATATTCGAAATTCTTTCAGATTAACTATTACATTGTTTATAAGAACTCTCGTCTAAATTAGAACGAATAGTTTCACAGTATTTGAGCGCCGAGTTGAAGTAAGACATTAAATAGGAATAATATATTTGTAAAATCTCAGCGAATGAATTTTTTTTAAATTAAATCCAACGTTTCGCCTGGCAATCTGGTCCAAGATATAATTCCTTGAAAAAGCTTGGACCAGATTGCCAGGCGAAACGTTGGATTTAATTTAAAAAAATTCATTCGCTGAGATTTTACAAATATATTATTCCTATTTAATGTATTACATTGTTTTTCTATAATTGTTTGGTCTAGTATAACTAGTCAAATTATGTAAAAGGTGTATGTGTTGGAAGATGATCATTGTTATTATAAATTCATTATAGTTTGTTAGAATTTATATAGTTGTATATGGGTTATATTATTACTAATAAAATAGATGTCAAATTAAATTCGATTAATTACAAGACTAGAGTCAATAAGGTACACACTTAGATAATATTTACATTTTTCTGATTTGATAGAGACAGAAAATAATTATCACTATGATTCATTAAGAGCTGAAATAGGATGAAGTTGGTTGAATAATCTTATTTGCTGTCGCCTATCCAACACTTAGTAAGGGGCAGACACACAGATTATAAAATCTCCATTGACAATTGGCATGCGCTAATAACAAATTTTAAACGTTTAGCTACACATTCTAAGTAATGCTGAAAAAAAACGACAGCGGAACTGAACGTTTTTATCTACAAATAAGTGAATATGCAAGGAAGCCTATCCATCCTGTAGTAGTCATGTAAACATTAGAAAAGTTAACCTGATAATTTTCACATGAACTTGATATTCTATACATCACAGTTGTTTCGAAAATTATCATTGCGAAATTAGCAGTTTTGGTGGTGAGTTAGTTTTCAAACTACTTGTCTGTCAAGTCGTAGATACCAGGGTCAAAGTTCTCCCTTATACAAACACTATAGTTTAATGTCGGATGTATAAATCTGTACTTGGTTGGTTATTTGTATGAATTATGTTTATTAAATAGATATTTTATTTGTCCCAAATCTTGTATAAAGCTTATTTTATTATGATCGTAGAACAATTAATTATTGGTTAATGTTGGAATAGAATATGCTTACATATAGTCTTCAACTTATGCCTCTTATTAAATCTATGGGAATTTCGATTTAAATCTCCACTGGTAAATTATTCGTAGAGGTAATTGTTCATTAATTTAATCACGTGCTTAAGATTATTATTTATCAATGTAACTGTGTTATTTTGCTTACATTTGTACGTGTAATAAGAAGCTTACCAACATCTGTCCTATTCTTACTTACCTAGTAGTCATCTCAGCATTCAACTGACCAATATCATCATACTAGTGAAACAAGGGTGTGGCATGATAAAATTATGTCTTAGGTTATTTACAAATTGATAAGTGTATGGGTACATAAGAACGCTGGTTTTGTATAGGAACATTATATTCATTTACCACAAGATGAGACTTCATTGTGATTTGTAGTGAATATTTACTTTGATTAATCGATAGGTTGGAAGTCGTCCTATTTTTACTCTGTAATGCAATAGTCAAAAATAAAGCCTGATGCTTAGTATTTAAGCTAACTATTCAAGCAAATGTTCAACTGATATACAATCAGATACATATATGTTTATTTGAAATCATGATTATTTGATGACACATAGTGTTAAGATTATATGAGTTTGGGTAAATCCCATTAATCAGCCAATATACTTAAGCCAATCGTAAAGGAGTTTAACTATTGCATAAATCTTCAGAAAGATATGCATCAATTTTTTTATATGATTGTGGTGTGGGCTACTTATATCCACATAAGTAGTATAAATGATGGTCGGACAGTGAATGTATTTTGGTAGAAGATCGAAAATGAAAGAACAGAAACGAAACGCAATTGGTGTGAAAATGCATGAACAATAATAATCGGGGACTATCAACTGATATTTGCAGAAAGAACAGTCAAGATTGAGACAGTTGATTGATAGTTTGCAAATTAACTGTTTACTGTATGGTTGTCAGATTTTAATGAGGCAGTCTTTAATTTTCGTGTCAAGTACGTCCGATTCTCCCCACCCGTATTGTTCACAACATGATGACTATCAGAATCCTAGTGAAAGCAACAGGCACTAGGTTAAAAACCCGACATTTATTTATTTGAACGCATAAATATTCATACAAAGGGGCACCAAATACATATGTACCATACAACAACAATGAAGCTGTGATTAGACAGTTTTTCAGAAATTATTTAATATTGATACTTCACAATTTGCTAACAGTTGACAAAGAAAATTATGTTTCTTTTGAAATGTTATTCTTAAGCTTGAATAAAGTAGGTTAAGTAAAACTTAATATGAACTTGTGGTACATTTGTTGTTTGTAGTAGTTTATAATAAACTAACGGTATCTTGGACCATAAACTGACGTAAGTGTTCAAGAATAAGTCAGTCAGAAGCATATCAATATGGTTTTTTTTGGAATGCTCGATTAGGCGTTATATTGTTTTGTATGTTGATAAGTATATCCATATCGTATTTCAAGGAAATTCTATTCTGTATTAGTAATTTAGTAACATGCTGAATATTTAAGACTATTTATTAATGACCAGCATGAATAATGCAATTTTTACTCAACAAAACTCGAACGTACAAAATACTAATTAATAACTGAATGTTGAGCTTTACTAACTGTCGCGTTTCTTAAAAGGGACTAATATATACATCAGTGTAGGTTGACTGCATTTACTAAGTTTGAGTAAAACAACATTCAATGACTGCGTGACTGTATTCGATTTATTTCTGTTTAACATTTTGGATAGCGTTTACAGATTGAAAATATGGAAACTATGACTATTGTGGTTCTGTCTAACAATAGGACAGTATCACTGGTAAACATCAATGCATCTCAAACTTATTCCATACATGCTGTGGTAAATCATATTTTATGAAATCAATTCAAATAAACAACCAGAGTAGGGATCGTAGATGATAATTTAAAAATATAATGTTTTATAACCAGTTAAAATTTC